TTTCCCTATTCAACAGGTATTCAAGATTCAACTTTCTATTTATCGATCATCCTCGTAACGTATTACCTTACGGAGGCGTCGGAGAACCTTTAACTTTCCAGAAGAAAACTTTTCTTATAAAGCGTTGAAAAAGGAAATTCGTATCATCGACGGGGAGATCTTCAACGAATATCCAAGAGTCGATCAACGATTCCGGGATAACGATTTATTCGATTCTCGAACAAATTCGGGGGAGAGGAGTGAGATGTGATCGAGACATTGCTCCTTTCTCTTCTCCTTTCTTCACCGCGGCGTGAGGAACGTTCGTGGAACGTTGGCCGTGAAGCATTGTCCCAGGGGTTAAAATCCGGGCGCGAGACGCGAAAGGGTCATCCCCAATTCGGTCGACATCTCTGCGGAGAAGGGGATGGGGGAGAGATAGGAGGGGGTGCGCGAGAGGTGGTTTGACTCCTACGACTGATATCGGTCGGCAAAGTAAAGGCTTTGACCGAACCTTCGTATGTAAATATACATTGCGGCCTTGCTCGGCTACGATGCTTACGACGCCCGGACTAGGGTTCCCTATCGATCTAGTGCCTCGACGCTTCAATCCTAGAAGAAGAGGAAACAAGCTGGCGGGTCCGTCGAGGATTCAACGAGATGACAAGTGTGCACTAGCGTTATCTGAATTTCCTACGAGTGGATAACGAAATCGTTCTTCCTTCCTTCCTTCGTAACACTTTTCGCGAAAATTCTTCTTTTTCCTTTTCTCTCCACTTTTCTTTCCACTCTTTCTCTCTTTTTTCTTTTTTCGTTTCTTTTTTTTTTTTTTTCTTTTATTCATCGAAGTTGGAGGGTTTGCATACAGTTCAATTACGAGAGATTCCCGATTTTTCGGGCAAAGTGAAGCAACGTTCTGGTCCACCGGTTGAAGCGGTGCTCGATTAAAATTAAACGAGGCCGTCCGGATCGATCCGGACGGTTTTTCGTGTACGTACAACTCGGGCCTACGTGTCGATGAATCGCGTCCTATTTACTACGGTCAGTTTGGAGGCAACGAGGACGAGGGTTCGGCCGCTAAAAGGGGGCTAAAAAAATAGAGAGACGACGGGAAGGAGGAGGAGGAGAATGACGACGACGACGGCGACGGCGGCGACGGCGGCGGCGACAACGAGCAAACCGTAACACACGTATCCGGACGTGCGGAGGGGTTTGGTGTAACCATCTGGAAACGGCTGGAAACGCTTTGCCCCGCTTGCGTCATTACGCTCGCGCACCTTTTCTTTCGCGCTTCCGTCTAATTGCTTTGCTTACGTGCCAAGAGGGAAGGGGGACACTGTGTCACGTGGCTCGAGCAGTTCTATTACTTCAAACCGGACCTCTGGAAAATTTCTTTTCCATTTCGTCCCCTTTCGTTTCGAACGGACGTAATCGCGCGGACGTACCTTTAATCTCGTCCCGTTCTCTTCTCTCTTTTCGCAAAACCTGCGTCGAGTTTCACCAGTTTTTTCACCTCGAAACATTTTACGGGACGAACAATTTTTCGCCTCTCCTCGTGAAGAAGGACCGTTCAACTCGAACTGTATAGACTCGAATCGAATAGGCAAAGATGGATAGAATCGATCGATCGCACGCACGATTGATCGCACGGATGACGTACGTGGCGATGGACGATGCTCGACGTGTCATCGGGTCAAAGGACAACGGGAGACTGGTCGATCTACGATCCACGAGCGATGCTCGACGACACACGCCGTCCTTTGGCAATAAAACGTGACGCACTGTCGAAACGCAGAAGAATCGCGCGTTATGCCACGGGTCTGTAACTATGACGGGAGTAACCGTGACGGGAGCGGCCTTCCGGGTGTAACCGGATGTTCGTTCAAGTCTATTACGCGTCGCTGTTTCAACATTGTCAAGAGTTTGTTGAAATTTTAACTGGAACTCGAAGAATGGAAGATACTCGAATAATTTCCGTTTCGTATTTTTTTTCCCCCTCCCCCTTTTCTTTTACCGCCGATTTTAGCGCCGAGAGACGTCTCGCTTCCTCTGTTCCAATCTAATCGAAGAGAGAATCAATTTTCAATAGTTTTTTCCATTTTTCTTCCCTTTTTTTACCATGATGCATTTTCGTTCGCTTCGTGGATGTTATCCACTCCTAGAACGCTAGCAATCTGTTTATTACACGAAGCCAGGGCAGCCAGCGTCTTAGGCGATTCAATCAGGAAGTGTAGAACGCTCCCTGAAAATTCGTTAAATCCGTCGGATGGTTCTATCTTTCTCTCTCGTTACAGAAACTTTTGGCTCACGGTAATTTCCTCATTCTACCCGAGGCGTAACGCGCATTAAGTTATCGAAGGCAAAACAGAGGCTTAATACACTGGTGCTAATCCACTCGAGCGTCCATTCCTCTCTATTCTTTCCTTTTCTCTTTTTTTTTTTTTTTTTTTCCACCCCAAATCGAATCTCTGGACGAAAACTCGGACGAGAATTGGTCCGAGAACGAACGAGAAAGATGGATAGGCGGTGTGTACCCGGTTAGCCAGTGTGTACTCCACTTGTTATATACACCGTCACAAACTTAGCCGACAATAGATCGAACTGACGCGAACGGTCGGCAGGAAGCGCTTCCTATTTCGTTCGTTGAATAGGTACGCGCTCACACGTTTCGAGCTCTCGTGTTATACGGGGAATGAACGTAGCGGACCGGATCGCCCTAGAACCACGCTTCTCGTAGGGACCTATGTTGCGGAGACAAAAAAAAAAAAAAAAAATCGGTCATCCGATTCGATCAATCCATCGAACGGCGCGATTATTGCCTTTCATAATCGGACCACGTGTCGGACCACGAGTAGCCAACGCTCGTCGGATAAAGGGGAGCGGAATCGGGTGAAATTTCGAAGCTTCATCCTTCGACTCCTCGTACCCACGGAAGAATCTGTGAAAAGTCGCATCGAAATTTGCATAACGTTTGGTAGTGTACGCGCGCGCCAACTGAATCTAGATCTTTCGAGGAATAGTGGAGGCTTGGAAAGGAACCGGTAGTTCCTTGAAAAGTAGCGAATCGAAGTGGCGCCACCGAGAGAGGCGGAGTTTTTAAATGCAAACTTGATAGCATGAATAAAAGATTTTGGGGAGGGCCCCGGTGCGCGCGAATGCCAATGCGATCCGACAGCAGCCTAACCTTATTACGGCCGGTAATTGGCTGACGTTGGAACGACGCTGATTGTCGCGTACGATTATCGCGGGTATCGTATCGTATTCGATCTCGTCATCGGTCTCTTTCTTCTGTTTTCCCCCCTTTCCCTCCCCCTTTTTTTCTTTCCTTTTGGATCGTTCGAAAAGAAGGAACGCGAGAGTTGGATGATCGCGCGCGAGGCCGTTTCCCTTTCACATCCCAGGAGGCGAAGGGAAACCGAAGGTTTTAAATTGAAGTAATTAAAATCCAGGCATAAGAGGGGGAGTCAGAAAGTTGGCTATTGTCGGTAGGGAGCGTGCGCCTTGTTAAATTTCTCGGTCGAGCGCAAGTCTCTATTTCCAAGTGGAGCGAAACGGATGGCCAATGGCCAATGATCACGCTGCGTCCTTCTTCCGCTTCCGCGGGCTTCCTCTCCCTCGTTTTCCTTCGCCGATTCTTTCGCTACCCTTTCTGCACCAACCTGCTCCTCTCCCTCCGCCTCGTCGATACTATCTCCTGGGAAATCCCTTGATAAGGAAGCATAAAAAAAAAAAAAGAAAAGAAAAGAAAAGAAAAAGCGAACGTAACTATGAAAGCAACGGGATACGGATACAGGTTTTTTTTTCGAAGAATTCTGATCGACGTTTCTGATCGAGACGAGAAATTCATTCGTCGCATCGAGAGGGGAAGGGGATAAATCGTGGACGACGAATAGAATTTCAAACTTCAGTTTCTCAGCCTCGATTTTAAGTAGCCTCGAACCGTTAAGCCGCGTCGAACGATTCTATGCCGTGTTCCTGTTCCTGGGCTGTCGTTGGCAGCCCTTCTCGGATACATTTCCAATATTCCTCGACGCCTCGTTTGTATTATATGCATCTCGCGCAACTATTGACATCGGCAACGAGGACGATTCGTTTCGTGGTCAAAGGAATCGGTTGGATTGACATCGGATCGTGTTATTCCCTATTTATTATCGTCCCCCGGCTGAAAAGCATCGCTCGTTTTCATTTCGCCTCATTCTCGGGAAAGTAGGCGAGCGAGTACACCTACCGGTTTAATCATCGTCGGCCTTCCCCCTCCGAATGGGAAAACACTTTCCTCTATTTTTCCCCCCTCCCTATCGCGCCCCTTCAGATCTTGTTTTTTTCCAAATTCAATGTTTGCCGCGACATATTTTAATATATCGAACGTTGACGAGTTTATTTACGCGAGACGATGAAAATAACGATCCTCCACGCCCCTCGAATATTATAATTCTTCGGATATTTCGTTCTCGATTCAAACGGCCCGCTCGATATTCGTGCAAATACATAACGGATACACTGGACGCACTGGTCGAGGCAGAAATTTCTCGTACTGGCGAGGCCTCGGAGGTTAACCCCTTCGTTTCGTACGCAAAACGAGAGCGGGAGGGAGGATAGGCTTTTGACACGGTGTCATCGACTGGTCGTATCGGTTACACGCCCATTTATAAGCGGAACGGAGGCGAGAAATTCTGATATCATCCATCCATTTGGACAGCGTTGATTTTTGACGCTCATTTCGTATTCGTGCGACATTTATTGCGGCACAATCAAATGCAATTAAAATATTCATGCATCGGCTCGATTCAAAGCGAAGTGAAACAAGTATATATACAGGAATATCGGAAGTAGGTACAATGTGTGCGTATGAAAATTTCACGGATATTGAAGTAATTCGTTTCGATGAATAAAAGTGAAAATCCCGTAGAAGGTTTCGCGCCGAGATACACCATGAGGCTATTCATTTGAGAGGTGAAATTAGAAGAGAGATGAAGGAAGAAAGGGAAGAGATGAATGTATATAAACGTAAGCTCGGGATCTCATATCTTCATGGGAATGTCTTCGTTAACCGCCACTCTCAAAGTTTTGATTTGCTCGATATCCAGCTCGAGATGGGCGAACATCTCGTCGTCCTCGATCTGTCTCAGCATTTTCGGATCCATCGCTACCATTTTCTTCAAAGCTTCCGGCGGTGGTATCTGCAACGGCAATTAAGAGGATTTTAGGCGGATCCGGGAAACGTTGTAACGAACGAAGGAATTCGGTTCTAATTATTCGTTTGTCTTAAGCGCAGCGGCGTTGGTAGCGCAAAGGTCAATACAGGAGGGAAAGAAGCGAAGTGGAAATGGACGTATCGATAATACCGTCGCATCTTTCGAGAAATCTCTTTATAATACGGTATAATTACCTTTGGATGCTCTTGAAGCCACTCCACGAAACCTCTCACGCTTCTAAGCATCATTATATCTTTCCAAACAGCTTCCATCGTTTCGATATCCACAGGCACGTCCTCGCATTCCAGCCATCTCTTGTGTACCTGATTATCGGGCGGTATGAATTGAATATTCAGAGGCAGAGCCGTGCCGAAGGCTTTTATCTTCGGTGGAGTTTTTTCCGCTTTCGCATCCCTCATCACGTGTTTCTTCGTCATGATGAGCTTGCTCGCGCCGGGCGAGTTTCTCGTGAAGGCCACCTCCGCGGGCACAACCGGCATTTCCTTGATCGACACCTACTTAAAGGGAAAAAAAAAAAGAAAGGAAGGAGTTAAACGCAAGAAATAAAGCGTACAGGTGCGATTAAACGAGACAGCTGTGCAAACTTTCTCGCGAGATTCAACTTCGGAAGGGAGGAAACGGCCTTCCACCCGAAACGTGTTGTTCAAAGTAATTAGAGATTCGAGTCGATATTTGAGGAGAATTTTACGAAGAGCTCGTACCAAAATCAATAACGCTTGCGTGGAATGGGTAAATATAAACGGATTAAAATTAGAGCTTTTATTAAGTATCCTGATATGTATTATTTGAATACTCGAGATTCGAATTTTCTTCCTTCTTTTAATTGGATAGTCCCAAAAATTCTCGACCAAAAAATAAATTGGGAACAAAGAGTAAATTTATTGATGTACAGTGAAACCTCGATTAACAAATTCAATGTGGATGAATATATATGAAAAAAGTTTTCAGATAACCAGAATTATTTTTTGCATACGCGTTTAAAACGAGTATTGTCACAATCATTTCGTTGTACTTTTTTGTAATCGTTTCTTGTATATAAATCGATATCCTCCATCCTCCTCGATTAACGCGTCAACCGAGTTCTATACTCGAAACTCTAAATCAAATATTCGAGTACTGCTTGAATCTCGATTAAATAGATATTCAAATACAATAGGATTCGAATGAGGCAACGGTAAGAGCCCTAATTAAAATCTGTCCAACAAACAAGGGAACATCAACGATATTTCTCTTTAACCTGTAACGTTCTGCAAATATCCGCACTGAAATCGATTTCAAACATATCCCTGAGAACTTCCTCGTCGATGGTATTATCCGTCCCGCCCAAAGATTCGACCCACTGGCAGAAGTCCTGACATATCCTTTTCATCGAGTTGTCGGCTCTCATTTTGAGCGTCGCCTCCGGATCGTAGCCCTCGAGATCTTCTTTCTTCAAAGAGCGCCACGTAATCACCTGTCCCCGTAAAAAGATATTATCTTTCTTTTTCTTTTTTCTTTTTTTTTCTTTTCCCTCCCCCTTTATCTCTCTTTCGCCCGACACTTTTATTTTTTTCCACATCTTTCCGATCGTTAGAAGATTACTCTATCGCTATCAATCCGATATCGCACCTTACGTCTTGGTTTCATCAGAAATAGAGCGTAAGGATTGTATCTACGCTCCATGGGCAGTTTCTCCTCATCGGGCGGTTCCTCGTCTTCCAATGTCGGTGGATTCACCTTGATAATTATAAAAAGAAGAAAAAAAAGGTTATCTTTAAAAAGATGGATTAAAGTAGAACAACAAACTATAAATATCGGGTAACCAAGAATGTTTATTTAATTAAAGTATAAGAGAAATGCATGGAATAATATAAATAATCGTTTTTAAATTGGACTCGTGGTAAATTATAATTAAATGTTTTATTTCTATTGTGCTCGATTATGGTGAATCTATTAAAATTTTCTTTTCCATAAGATTCCTTCTCTTTCATATTGTTATATATATCTAATTCTCTTTTTAATAACTCGACTCGAATTCAAAAAATCAAAAAATAACGAAGAAACGAATGAAAATTTCTTTCTCTATATTTTTTGTATTTTCTGTTCTTCTTTGTCGTGAAAAAACAATCAAATATTTCTTGATTACCTAATAATAACAACTCACAACATCCGTCTAGTATCGAGTTATAATAATTTTTGTTTTTTTGTTTTTTTTTTTTTTTGGTTTTTCAAAGGAAAACGAAAGTACGACAAACTTACCTCCAAACTGTCGAAACTTTCTATTTCGACTTTCTCCTCCTCGACTTTTTTTTCTTTAACTATCTCTTGTTTTATATGCCATTTGGGTAGTTTCATCAATTTCGAAATTTTATTATAAGTATCTATAGGTAGTATCCGTTTCAAGAGTTTGATGTTATGTATGGGTGGCTGATCAATGGAGAAAAGCAAATCAGAAGGATATTTATCAGGATACAAATAACGTTTAGAATCAATTAACAACCTGACGAGATTCGTAATCATTCTATTACGCTCTCCTGTGATCGGGTCGTCGTTCTCGCTATTTTTCGTCAACCGTTCCGAAAATTCTTTGCACAAGATGTTTAACATATCGGTGGACGATACGTTCTCCTCGAGATTCGTTAAAATTTCCACGATCTCGTCCGGACGTGTAAGCGGCAAATTCGTCCCGGCTCTCGATAAATCGGTCGCGAGTGGTGTTTTTAAAAGGCCATCGTCACGAGTCTCGTCCAATTCTCGTAATGTGCCCTTTGACGCGTCGTCGCGATATATTTCCGACTTGTTGGACGTCGGTGTTGATACGGAAAAGCCCGAGAAGCTGGTTCCCTTTCTGAGAACGCGTTGCCGCTTCTCCACGATCGTTTCACCTTTTTCAGCCGTCAATTTTTCCAGGACAGACTTCGCTTTCGTTAAGGGCCGAGGCGGCACAGGCTCCGCCTCGTCTCCGCTCGATCTCTTCTTCTCGAGGACACTTTTAGGCCTTGATTTTTCCGCAACCTGCTCGTCCACGGAATCGCTTTTTCTCAACGAGGATGTGTCGAGCAGGTCGACACGATGTTGCAGAGTCGTCGGTTTACGGTTTCTCAGGGCTCGAAGGGGCTCTAAGCTCGGCCTGAAATTCGTGGGAGCATGACAGGGCGCCAAGTATTTCGGTTTAGGTTGATCGTCGCCGATCGAGGTCGCAATCGAGTCGTCTTCTTCTTCCTCCGTGCTCTCGTTGCGTAACGAGGAACGACCTTCTTTCGTTTGTTCCAGGGAAGCGACTTGCGTCCGATTTATCTCGATTCGAGCCTCCTCGTTCAAATTTGTCGATGCTGCCTCGTCGTGTTGCGGATCCCCTTTACCTTTCTTTGTAATCTCGTCACGCGAAGTCTCCGGTTCCGCAGTACTTTTTTGCTCCGCTGCGTCCTCTGGTCGTTTCTGTATTCCCTTCTCTTGGAACGAGGAAGCGGCATCCTCTGTAACTTCACTTTCAGGAACATTGGATTCCACGTCGTCGAATCCAACGTTTCTCGTTTCAACTTCATCGTTCAAAATTCTTTCAATTTCGTTTTTAAGACTTGGTATGCTGGTGGAAGTGGAAATGGAAGTGGAATCGCTGTCTTCGAATGAATCTTTAAGCGACGTTACTTTGAATTTTTCATCATCTATAATTCTCTGCAAAACGGTTCTGGGTAGGGATATCTTTCGTTCGGGAGGAGTCTCGAACGATTTGTACATACACGGCAAACACCTGTCCCGACTTTTCCTTGGATAGGATAATTTTGGAATCGATGATAGAATACGGGTAAAAGGATTGTCCTCCAAGCCCTCTGACAACACGAATTCTGGATTAGGCCCCGATGTGTAACGAGATTCGGTGGGAATGCTTCTCGACGTTGACTCGTCGGATTTCAAAGCTCCGTTTTCATCGTCGGTACCTGAAAATTCTGAATCCTCGAGTGATTTTTGTTCAAAAATTGTCGGCATCTCGCAAATACGAGACGATTCTTCATTTAATTTATCTTTTTCAATCTGTTTACTTTTTACCAAAACTTGGTTGTCGTCATTACTTACCAGAAAATTTTCACTCAAAAATGATCCTTGTTTTAAATGGTCGATAGATTTCAATTTGAAATCTAAATTTTTGTCCTTTGACAAACGTTTCAATGCTTTATAAGCAGAACGAGCGGTATACTTTAAAGAATCTTCGTTTGGTAATAAATTTTCCTTAATTCGTTTCATCGTGGATCGATCAGTTGAAAGTTTCTTTCTAATTTCTTTTATCGTTTTATCATTCTCATGTAGAGCCTGATCCTTGGTTTTGAGATCTTTTTCCTTCGATAATTTTAAATATTTCCGTAATTTTTTCAATGTTGATTGGAATTCTGACATCCGAGGATATTTAGTCAGAATTGGTAGAGTGGTAGAATTATTTTCTTGTATCTTTCCTTCATTTTGAACACTGAAAGAAGCCCGGATATCATCCACTTTACCAGGATGAATTCTACCGGAACTAGGTTGAGGACCACGGGTATTTAATTTTGGGATTCGTACATTTTCAAATGTGGTAGAATAGCACATTGTATCCAGACTTTTTGGAACAGTTTGATGCGATCTCTTTAATATCGATTTTACGTTATCGAAACGATTTCTATTCGATTTAACGTTTGCTTTTATAAGATGTGACTTGTGCAAAGAATTGTCGGACGTATCGCGATCATCTAAGCAAGAATTAGAAAAAGAATTGCGATTAAACGATTGATTCTCAACGAATGTATTACAATCAATAGAATTGCAATATTTTTTAGGAAAGGAATTGTAGGATAATTTAAGAAAAGGATTTCTTACTGCGAGTAATTTCTTTTCCTTTTCGTCAATCATTTTCATCCAGTAATCTCTTATACACGGAAGAGGATATTCCCATCTGATAATCGATAATTTTCTTAAAAATTTATTCACGATAATATATATAATGTGAAAATATTTTCACGAGATTTATATACGTACCTTTTCCCTTTTACGATTTTCTTGTAGGTATATTTTCTCTTCATGCACGGAATACTCGTGTCAGAAGAACAACAAGAATTTTGAACACATTTAGAAGTGCTCATTTTATTACTCATTTAAAAAATATTACTTTTAAATCTAATTCTAAATTATATATCTACGGGATTTTTATCCGCGAACTTTTACTTCAATTTCAACTATCGATCAAACAAATTTTGACCAAATTCAGGACATGCGCATACACGGTAAGAAGTCTTAAAAGAAAAGAATTGCATTACATATAGGTTATATTACCATGAAAAAATACATGAAAGTACTTACCAATAATTTCTATTTGATCGATGAATGTTTAATGTTATCAGTTGTAGTAATAGCAATTTTCTTATTATAATGCAACTTATTAATTGTAGATAACGTTACGGATAAAATTCCTTTATAACGTTTATTAATTCAATACATTTTCCTCTCTCTCGTAATAGTGAAATATACTGACACTTGTGAATAAAATTAGATTTAAAATTGAAATAGATTTATTATTTAATGCATTTTTTTATTTCGTATCTCAGAGATATTACGATTTATTATTTTAATATTATACTCAAAGTTCTCACCATATATTAATATCGAAATCATTATCCAGAGATGTATTATAAAATTAACAATACAATATCTATAATTTTTAAATTAAAAGTTAAAATTAAAAATTAGAAAAAATTAAAAATAAATTTAAAAATTAATTAGATTAAATTAATAATAGTTGAAATTATAGCAGTTTTGAAAAAGAAATAATGAAATAAATTTATTGACATTCTATACCTTGTTTATTATCATGTACCAAGAACAAGTATGAACAAGAAGGGTAAAGTGAGAAAAAATAGGGATATGGTAAAAAATATGAAATCAACGCCATCTTTATAGATGCAAATGAAACAACAATATACAAACAAGAAAAGCAAATAGTAGAAGAATAAAAGATAGAATTGATTCTTAGCATCATTTCTCGAATATTAAAAATATCTTTTCAAGTAAAAATAGGATAAAATAGAATATAAATTGGAAACTAACACCATCTCTTAAGAGATAAAAATATCTTCCAATGAGCTCAAAAGATGGCACTAGTCATCAACTCTTATTCTACTTTATCTGTTTGAATAAATATTTTTAGCATTCAAGAGATGGCGTTACTAGTTAATTCTTATTCTATTTTTACCCTATATTTTTACCCTTCTTCTACTATTTATTATCCTTATTTATATTAGTTTCATTTGCGGCATTCTGAAGATGGCGTTAATTTCATAATTTTTACTCTATCTTCGTTCTTCTCCCTTTGTTTGCTTTCTTTATTGTACTAAACTGATTTATTGTAATTCTTAAATTGAAAGATAATGCCGATTTCTATCTTTATTGTATCTAACATATTAAATAAAAATCATAACAGAATTTACTTTTTATATATCATAAATATATATATATGTACTTAGATTATAGCTTGCCAGATGGCGTAAGAAACATTGATTGATGCAACACGAAATTTGCATAAAATGTCATGTCTAGTCTGTTTTGATCTGTGTCTGTGATAAAAAGCATATGACTTACCGTGGATAATACATTAACACAGTAACAATTTCCTATCCATTAGTAATAACAATAAAATATACTGATATTTACGAATAAAACGCACACAATCGTTACACTCACGAATAAACGTATTTTAAACACGGATAAAATACATATATATATTTTAAATGCGAAATTTTACATTATACCTGAAGTCGAAGATACAGTTTTGACGTATCTAAATAGGACAGTAATTGAAACAAAACTAATGTGACTTTTCTCCAGATAAGCATAATCTATTTTCTATTTTATTCAATTAATTTCTTGAATGTATAACAACAAAAAATATACTGATGTTAAGTCGTTTTACAAATTCTCATTTCCGTTTAAAATTGTGAATTAAATTAATAATTAAATAATTCGAATTTATCATTTGTAGATAACATCGAAGCATCACAAGTACTTATATAAGAGAATTATTAATCTTTCCATTTCATCATCAATGTTTGAATATATCGCAAATGATTAATTATTTGAATAAATAGATTTAGAAATAATTTGTGCGATGATAAAAGTTTAGAATCAATTTTATTTTAGTTTATAATAATATTTTATTTTATAATAATTATTTTAGTATTTATAATAATACTTTTAAACGATTATAAAAATTTATTAATATATCGAAAAAAAAATTTGGCAGCGGTGGGATTCGAACCCACGCCCCCGAAGAGACTGGTGCCTTAAACCAGCGCCTTAGACCGCTCGGCCACGCTACCAGATGTGAGGTAGTTTTTTATAATCAGTTTTTTAAGCAAATTGCAATATTTACATACGTTATATTTTTTATGTATATAGTTCTATAATTAATAAAAATAAATAATGTGTATCAGATATAAATTTATTGAATTCAATATCTCAATCTTTCTTCAGAGCTCATATTTGTTTAAATAAAACTTATTATACATATAATACATATAATAACAATATAAAGTTCTATTTTTTTGTAATTATATTTTAAATACTTTATAATAATTTCATCGATTATATTTTTCGTACTTATAACGATGTTTGAAACATTGTTACTTAATCTTCAATATATAACCTTAATATTAACAATAAAAGTGAGTTAGATTTTTTTTATATTTTACGCCATCAAATTTTTATCCATGTCATGCTTTTTAGCATCTGTGGCGTATTACAATTCTACATTAGGATCCCGTCGAGAGATAAATTCGTACTTTTGCTGGCCACATGTCGTGGGCGTAGATAGCATAGATTAGACAAAGGCAGTCTCCGGGCGGAGCTTTCGATCCACGTAGTTGGCGCATGCGTATAACGTTTTCTGTCCCCCACGCGCATCGTATTCCGTGAACCAGCATGTGATACACAGAAGCGAGAGGAACTAACGCATCCCTATTTTTTTTCGCACTTCGCGACGGCCATTTTGTATGCCGACTTAATATTCACCTCTCATTTTCTCCCTTCTCATCTGTAACTTTATATCGGCGCGATGAAGTTCAATTGTCACGCTGGTGGTCTTTTGTTCTCGTGGGCTTGAATCATAATCGAGTCAGTTAGCGTCCTTACGCAGCGAATACAAACGATTTCGGAGCGGATTAGTCATCGATCGGTAACAATAACCGATCTCCCTCCTCCTTTACGGCAAATAAATCGAAAGTTAATCCAATCAGACTTTACATACAGCGTTCGAACATTGTTTTGACAATGTATAAACAGTAAGTACGTAAGTATCTTATAAGGTTTCTTTATCTAAACAATACTTTATCTCTATAGATTTCTATTCTTTAATTTTTTTTTTTTATCTATAAAAGAAAGAAAATCAATTTCGATTTCCAATTCATATTATCTATCTATGTTGTATATTTTTTTAAAAAATATGAATCAAATATCTTTTCATGTCAATACTTAACAATTAACAATTTATAATTTTTTAACGTAAAGAAACACGAATACAATACACGAGTATTTTCAATTCTCACGGAATTTATATGTAACAGGCGTGACACGTTAGCGTCAAACGAATGTCATCGTGAACGATGTTTAATTAAACATTCGATGGTATTTATAGTAACGATAAGGGCGTTGATTAATCGAGACGAGAACCATAATGGAAAGTCGGAATGTAGCAACGCTCGCGCGAACTCGACCGCGTATAGCAGAGAGTCTGAATAAGGCGTAGGAGCATCCTCGTGGTGAATTAATCATTTCAACAGCTGCTGTCGCATTAGCGAGAGCGGATAAGACAAATGAACGTCGTGGAGCTTGTTAAGACGTAATCCGAGAGATGCGTCTGCATCGCCTCCCGCTTCCACCTTCGCCGCCTCTCCGTCATCCTTCGCCACCACCGTCACATCCGTCGTCTCATCCGGGATTAGACGCTCGTGTATCGAGTCGCCATTTTCCTCGATGATCCTCTTTTGTTTACAGACCAGCCACAATCATTTGTTTTTAATCTGTTTTTCTCTTTCTCTCTCTCTTTCTCTCTTTCTTTGTGGATTGTCCTAGATAAAATCAAATTATTGCAATCATTGGAAATCTATCGGATATTTGGAATAAAAAAAAAAAAAAAAATCTGTCATTCGTCCATAAAGATATAATCTTCGGAGTCTTTTTTCGAGTTGAACATTGTTAAACACGAACGGTCGTTTCGTCAGTACCCACGGATTGAAAGATCCCCAATGGCAGATAACGTCAATGCGGGCGCCATTGAACGATGTTAACGCAAATCTTGTGGACATGACGTGATCGTTGTCTTGTTCCCTTTTGTTATGAGAAGAAACTGGTAAATCGTATTGCATTTCATTTTTGTAAAGGGTTTGGTAAAATAATATCCGTATCTATCGATCTGTTGGTTATATTGTTAACTTAAATTGTTAATTTAAAGTTTACATCCTTTCGTAAAAAGTATTAATTCATAAGAATATTAAAGACGTCTTCGTTTTCGAAGAATTTTAATCGTGGATGCATTAGCGAGAAACTTTACGTGTTTCCATATCTGTCACTGTATAGATTTCGACTTTTCAAATACAAGTACGTAGCCGAAGAAGTTCTTCGATTCTACTTCGCTTTTGTCAGGCCGAGTATTGCGCCTCTCCATTTTGTCATCCCCTAGCGGGGTTTCAATGTTGTAACCATGGAGACGTCGCGTTTCCGCAAGGGGAACGTATAAAGGGTGTCGGGCGTACGTAGGCAAGTATGGTGAGGCTACCATTGTTAAAATTCGTGGCTGTACTACGTGTCCAATTTGATGATAATGAAAATACGATACAGTTTTGAGCGCGGTGCGATTGATGTGTCTCGGCTTCGTGTAACAACGTTACATTTTTCTAATTTTTATTTTTACATTTCTCAACTCTACATTACTCTCTACGATCGTTATTGCTGTTTCCTTTTCTTATTTCTGGATATTTTTACAATATAAGTTTTACAATATAAATATCCTTTATATTTATTTATTTATAAAATAAAAGATTCGTCGATGAATTTGCAATTATTATCTTTTCGAGAGTAATTTGTAAGTTTGCTAGTGAAAATGTCG